AATTATTTTTCCCAAGAAAACTTCAACGCCTTGTACCAACTCAACGAGACGATTTTAGATATATAGGTAAGGTGGCCTAAATCAACTTGTTTCTATCCCAGCAGTCCACAGCCGAGCCATGTCCCAACCTTTTACAGACACCCTGTATATACAAATGTTGCATATATTCACTATGCAACAAAGGGGCAATGGGCATCCCATGCCACGCCGAGTGTGATGACTGGGTAGGTACCCACTATACCCAGATAAGAAAATGCTGTAATCATCATTTGTTAGCTACCGTTTTCAGTAAATATAATTTCCCATTGTTAGAGCGAATCCAGTGTTATTTTTATGAGTGTCTTCCGCCTCAGCCTCAGCCTTGGTATTTTATTTTCCACTTCCTCCATATAGGTGGTACCACAACGGGTATTATTCTCCCCAGTAGTTTACAAACGTATAATATTTATAATAGAACGGCCATAATACAATATAAAATTACTGAGCAGTGCGATGATAACGTTTTTAAATAGAATGTGAACATACCTATTCCATTATTAGATTAACTGAGGTGTATATTTTCTATCATTTAAATACATGTTCGCATCCAGTCGTATTATGGAATACAGGCGGAGATTGTTCGGAAACAATTGTTATTTTGTTCGAGATTTGCACGTAATAGAACTGCATTTACCATTGGTTATTTATTGCAAGATTATTGAGTTCCCTCTCTGCTGGTGATTCAGATTTAACATCGACGATAAGATACCTATTCTCATTTCTCCCCATCGTTCTATAGTCTCGTTCTGAACTGTGAAATATCTCGAGAATACCTTTGAATCTCTTACTCGCTCTTTAAAAAAGGTGAGTATTTAAATCCTTTCATCATATTCAATCCTACATAGCACAATCGATTTCCAATGTTGATGACCTGATTTCGAATCCGAAGAGATTTTCAACTTATATCTTGCCTTCTTGTAACCATATAATTTTTCGGTAATATCGGTGATTCTATGACGCCTACTGACGATCATCCCAGTTGCTCATTCAGTGTATCTTCAGAATAGCTGTCTCGTCTTGAAATTATTTAAATGTTCAAACTGTTGAAGTTTATACAACTTTATACACCTAACAATTGTTTTTTTTTTCTGTGTTTCAATAACTTGTACCACTTAACTATACCTACCCGAGCCTATACCTATTTTCCAAAGGTTGGTGGTCAAAAGATTATCAAAGGTTTTTTCTCGAACTGATAAAAAATCTACACTGTAGAAAATTCCTCTGAGTGAATGCATATGTGGTTGTGAGTGAATTTACTGATTGAAATATTTGAATGAATTCTCAACTCAAACTAGATATTTCATCAAGTTTTCATATCAATGAGAATGTTTATAACAAATTTGATTGAATAGGCTCATAAATAACCATTTTACACAGTCAAGTAGGGTAAAATTTCAACTCAATCGGGCGTGGACCGAAATTGACTCATTATTGCGTGGACCTTTAGTGAAATTTCACTCATTTTTTTTTTTCAGTGTAGTAGGTGAAAATTAACCTACCTTACACCTATTGATAGTACGAGAATGGAATGTGATATCTTCTGAAAGCTCTTGATAACAACCAGAGCAAAAATTTATCTGTGCCGCAAATTTTCTTTTCCAGTATTCCCATGTGAACTAGTGAACTTTGATATACAGTATAGTCAATGGTGTCAATTCCAGGTTTCGATGCACTTCTTAATGAATTGACGAAAAATCGAATGCTAAACTCTGCTAAAGCGATTGCTCAAGTATAGGTATAGCTCGAGGTATTCATAGATTGACCTCGATCTTCACTCACACCATTTGATTACATCTGGTAATGGCAATACTCTGCAGTTTTGTTGCTGGTCTAGTAAACGAAAAGTGTTTTTATAATCTTCGATATGATTATTGGAAATGTGAAGTATTTGCCCGTGTAGCTTTGAATTTGATAGTAAATGGTCGAGAGCAACTTTATCAGAATCAACCCTAATAAAGTGTTGAAAATGCAGTGTTAAAGGGTCACAGTCACGTTTTTGAGTACTAAAGGCTTGTGAAAATATTCATGAAGATATATAGTTTATCCAAAAACAATTGCAGAATCTCGTGCCGCACCTGCAGTCACGTCAAAGGAAACTTCAAACACTCCGACGCCGCACAGTGCGGGATATTCTGCAACTGATATTGGATATACTTTACCCTTGTAGCCGAAATGAATGATATAAAGTAGGTAACTACTAGCATTCACTCAGTTGATTAACAAATCTTGTGATTCTTTTCTATAATATATAAGTTCAACATGAGATATTTTCATAGAACTTCTTCTAGTTAGTCGCGTCGAATCTAAATTTTCCACTGCTGAGATGATACGCATCAGATCGAAACATCATTTTTTCCACAATCATCAATTAGTCCAATTGGAGTGGGTTGCAATGGCGGCCACCTCACAACAATGCCCGTCAATTGGCCCGTGATTGGCGTCGAACATTGATTGATAGGTATACTTGTTTGAAGAACGTTATGATTATTAGTAATGTGAAGTATTTGCTGATAGCTAGACTGACTGAAGCTTCGAATTTGATAGTGAATGGTGAGGAGCAAGATGAGACATCGTTTCCTGAAAATAAAAAGGAACTATACGTTGCTGTTGAAAATGCTCGAGAATATTCATAAATATATAATCCTAGAATTTCGATTTCGATGATAGATGGTAGAAACCAGTAGCAAAATGAAGGATTATGGATAACCCATACTGACTCATTTCACCAAGAATCGTGCAATTATCTTCTATAATATTGCTACAGTCTCATGGGTGATGCCTCGCTCACAAACTCACTCACTTCTCTGGAACACCGTAGAAAAGTTGGCGATCTGGCTCTATTTTATAGATATCCTCATGGACGACGCTCTTCTGAAATATCAAAAATTGTTCCTCCCTTGCCAGTCCCCTGGAGATTAACCCATCGAGTTGAGGCTTCGCACCCCTTCGTGATCACTTTGAAGACCTGCAGAACATCTCTTTTCAAAGACTCGTTCATCCAACGAACAGCGAGGCTCTGGAACACATTGCCACCTCCAGGAATTCGAGAAGAACACCAATTCCTACCTTATTCCCCTTGGTTCTCACGATATCTCTACAGAACTCCTTCTAGTGACTTGAATCGAATTTTTCTACTACTGAGATGATCCGCATCAGATCGAAATCTCATTTTTCCTACAATCATCAATTAGTCCAATTGAAGTGGGTTGCAATGACGGCCACCTCACAACAATGCCCGTCTATTGGCCCGTGATTGGCGTCGAACATTGAATGATAAACTTCTTTGATGAACGTTATGATTATTAGAGATGTGAAGAATTTGCTGATATCTAGACTCACTTAAGCTTCGAATTTGATAGTGAATGGTTAGGAGCAAGATAAGACATCGTTCCCTGAAAATAAAAAGAACTACTCATACGTTTCTGTTGAAAATACTCAAGAATATTCAAAAAGATATCATCCTAGAATCTCGATCTCGACGATAGATGGTAAAAAACAATAGCAAAAATGAAGGATTATGGAGAACCCATACTGACATTCACTCATTTCACCAAGAATCGTGCAATTATCTTCTATAATATTGCTTCAGTCTCGCGGGTGATGCCTTGCTCACAAACTCACTCACTTCTCTGAAACACTGAAGAAAAGTTGGCGATCTGGCTCTATTTTATAGATATTTTCATGGACGATGATCTTCTGGAATATCAACAATTGTTCCTCCCTTGGCAGTCCCTGCGAGATTAACCCGTCGAGTTGAGGCTTCGCACCCCTTCGTGATCACTTTGGAGACCTGCAGAACATCTCTTTTCAAAGACTCGTTTATCCAACGAACAGCGAGGCTCTGGAACACCTTGCCACCTCCAGGAATTCGAGAAGAACACTAATTCCTACCTTATTCCCCTTGGTTCTCACGATATTTTTACAGAACTCCTTCTAGTGACTTGAATCGAATTTTTCTACTACTGAGATGATCCGCATCAGATCAAAATCTCATTTTTCCACAATCATCAATTAGTCCGATTGGAGTGGGTTGCAATGGCTGCCACCTCACAACAATGCCAGTCTATTGGCCCGTGATTGGCGTCGACCATTGAATGATAAACTTCTTTGATGAACGTTATGATTATTAGAAATGTGAAGAATTTGCTGATATCTAGACTCACTAAAGCTTCGAATTTGATAGTGATTGGTTAGGAGCAAGATAAAACGTCGTTTCCTGAAAATAAAAAGAACTACTCATATATGTTTCTGTTGAAAATACTCAAGACTATTCAAAAAGATATCCCAGATCGATCTCGATGATAGATGGTAGAAATCAATAGCAAAAATGAAGGATTATGAAGAACCCATACTGACATTTACTCATTTCACTAAGAATCGTGCAATTATCTTCTATAATATTGCTACAGTCTCGTGGGTGATGCCTCGCTCACAAACTCACTCACTTCTCTGAAACACTGTAGAAAAGTTGTCGATCTGGCTCTATTTTATAGATATCCTCATGGACGACGCTCTTCTGAAATATCAATAATTGTTCCTCCCTTGGCAGTCCCCGCGAGATTAACCCGTCGAGTTGAGGCTTCGCACCCCTTCGTGATCACTTTGGCGACCTGCAGAACATCTCTTTCCAAAGACTCGTTCATCCAACGAACAGCGAGGCTCTGGAACACATTGCCACCTCCAGGAATTCGAGAAGAACACCAATTCCTACCTTATTCCCCTTGGTTCTCACGATATTTTTACAGAACTCCTTCTAGTGACCTGAATCGAATTTTCCTACTACTGAGATGATCCGCATCAGATCGAAATCTCATTTTTTCCACAATCATCAATTAGTCCGATTGGAGTGGGTTGCAATGGCGGCCACCTCACAACAATGCCCGTCTATTGGCCCGTGATTGGCGTCGAACATTGATTGATAAACTTCTTTGATGAACGTTATAATTAGTCGGGCCGAATAGATGGGAGATGGGAGCTACGAGGCGCCCTGCGGCGTCGGTCCGCCTGAAGCACAAACTCCACAGGGGGTAGCGAATCGTCTCGCGATTTGCGCGGTGGATGGATATATACCTCCTTGCAACTTTTAATTGAAAACCAGGAATTCGCATGGGAATGTAGAGTAGAAACTTAATGATAATAATTATCCGATAGATCGAAAATATTGAGTTGGTGATATACAGGGTGACACAGGCACATGTAACAGCCTGTAGTTTTTCCATTCGAAAGGATGAAGATTTGAAATTCACAAGGTATATCATCGATTATGGCGCTTCCCTTGAACCCAATGACAATTTTTTTCAATCACCTGTTTGATCGGAAGTAGACCTAACTTTATTTTTCCGAACGGCACCCTATATATATTTCTGTAGCCTATCTCATTCGCCTGGAAATTATCTATTCAACTATGTGTCACAATTTGATATTTGTTCATGAATTGGCTGTTAAATTTCATTTTATTGAAATACATGAAGTGGGCTGTGGCCCGAATACAACATTTCGATGCTTGATAGGCTTAGGAATCCAAAGATCATGACTAATACTATATTATCAGGCCTTAGATTTGGCGTCTAAGGCCAATATTTCCTCCATTTGCCTGGATAACCTTGTCAAATTCTGGAGATATCTCTCATTGGCGTCCACGTCGCGAGGGGGGGGCTTTGGGAAACGGCTACTTAGCTGCTTCGCAAAGGCTAACAATGAGAAAAGTCACCCAATCCTAAGGTGGAGTGGATCCCGTGCCGATGGGATGCGTGGTACATGGGAGATGTGCAGACAACGAGCCCTCCAGAGAACCAGGCGAAACTCTGGAGTAAACAGCCTTGCCTCAGTAAACGGCTCTGCTGAGGTCGACCAACACATCCGCATTACTCGTGGGAACCATATGGAAAACCAAAAACAAAATAATGACGAACCTGCCCATCTGATGGAGGTTGAGGGGACACCATCCTCATCTTCATTGGATGCAGAGAATAGGCTTCTGGAGGGCGACTCTTCTGGAACGGGAACTGAGGCACATCAAACCTTGGTTACTGTGGAGGAAGAGCGCATCCTACAGGAGCTGATGGAGTCGACAGAGGAAGGGGAGGAATCTGGGGGCAGCCGTGAGCAGCCACCGGTTCCAAACCCTCAGGATCTGCCGGACACAAAAGTGAAGATGTCTGGAGCGCAGCGCAGGAAGCTGGCGATCCAGGCGGCTATGGCTCGTGGGGACCCGATCATTCCTAGGAAGCCTAGGTCAAATCGGAGGCCCACGAAAAAACCTCAAGCACTGGTGGCCGTAAATCCATCATGTCTTAAGAGACCAGACAAAACCATCTCCACAACGGGAAGTGGGAAAGTCTGCGAGGCCGCTGGAAAGAGGGGGAGATCCGAGACCAGCACACCTTCGCCGCTCCTTAAGAGGAGCAAACAGAGTGTCTCTGCGGGACCTTCTGTAACTAAACCCGTCAGTACACCAACTGGAGGCAGTTACAGTAAGGCCCTGACCTCCTTTAAGATGGCAGTGACTACGGGCAACTATCCCGAAGACAAGCTATCTTTGGAGCAGGTGAAGCAAATCCAGCTTCTTATTACGAGAGAGATCTGGAGATGTGAGCCAGGAACTGGGCCTCAATTCGCAGGCAGCTACCCTCAATCGGGGGTGCTGATCCTAACCTGCGAAAATGAGGAATCCAGAGAATGGCTCAAGCGGAAGGTGCCTACGCTGAAGCCTTGGGAGGGGGCCGCCCTTAGCGTCGATGACGCTAATAAGGTGGTCAAAACTCACAGGGCTGTGGTATGGGTGCCAACCGAGTTCCTGGACGCCAAGGAGCCGGCTAGGATCCTACAGCTCCTGGAAACCCAGAACAAGGGCATTAAAACAGGAGACTGGAGGATTATTTCCACCAATTCCGACAAACAAGGAATTACCCTTGTTCTTGGAATTGACGACCTCAACCTGAAGGAGTTGGCCAAGAGAGGCTTCAAAGCCTACCTAGGCCTGTCCCAACTTACCTTCAGGGTGGTAAGTAAAAAGAGCGCCGAAGATGCTGCAGGTCCTTCAAGTAAACCTGCAGCATAAAAAGGCTGCGACTGCTGCCTTAGTGAGGTACCTGTCCCGAGGCGAAGCTGACATAGTCCTGATACAAGAGCCCTGGATTCACGGGGGACGAGTCTCAGGACTGGGAGAAGCCAAGGGTAAGGTAATATACGATCTGACGGCAGGGAATGTGAGATCCTGCATTTTCGTTAAGAACGAGCTACACGCACTAAAACTGCTTGATTTCTGTTCTAGGGACCAGGCAGCAATTAGGCTGAAAATACGTATGGGAGGAATCTGGACGGAAATCATAATAGCCTCAGTGTATCTGCCATACGATTCTATCGGGCCACCTCCGTCAGCAGAACTGGAGAGGCTAGAGGAGTACTGCAGGCTTTCAAACCTACAGCTCATCTTTGGCATTGATGCCAATGCTCACAGCACAGCTTGGAGGAGCAGTGACACAAACAGAAGGGGTGAGTTCTTATTAGATTACATAATTTCTAAGAATTTAGTTATAATGAATCGCGGGAACGAAGCAACTTTTGTTACCAAAACTCGTAAGGAGATCATTGACATAACCCTGGCGTCTTCTAGAATAAGCTCTCAGGTAACTCGGTGGCGTGTATCTGAGGAACCGTCCTTGTCGGACCATAGGTATATCTGTATGGAAATTTCAGATACTGAACACCCGACAGAAGCCTATCGAAACCCGAGAGGTACGAACTGGGAGAAATTCAGAGAGGACTTAACAATAAACCTAGGAAACGTCAAGAAGATTATCAAAAACGGCACTGATGTAGAGGTAGCCTCCTGTCAGTTGCAGGAGGCAATAATATCCTCATATCAGGACAACTGTCCTTTGGTAAGGCGCAACAGCAGCAAAGACGTTAGCTGGTGGAACGAAGAACTTAAAACGCTAAGAAAAGAAACACGCAAACTTTTCAATAAGGCGAAGAAAACTGGGGAGTGGGGGCAGTATTCCATCACTCTGACCAATTATAATAAACAGATCCGTAGGGCGAAAAGGGAGTCGTGGAGGCGTTTCTGTGGAGAGGTGGAAACAACCTCTGAAGCAGCACGCCTCCATCGAATCCTAGCCAAGGCACCTGTTAATCCTATGGGGAATATAATGAAACCTGACGGGAGATATACTGAAACTGGCAGGGAAACTCTGGAGATTCTACTTCGGGCTCATCTGCCAGATTCGGTTGAAATTGAAAACGATAATCTACCAGACCCACTAAACCCTCACATGAGGGCTGCTGTTGGGGACTGGCGGGTATCGAAGAAGATTGTTGACCACAGTAAACTGCTGTGGGTCATAGAAACTCTTGAATCCTACAAGGCGCCGGGACCGGACGGAATTATCCCTGCAATGCTACAGCAGGGTAAGGACCAGCTGGCTCCGTTTATTTGTGGGATATTGAGAGCAAGCATGGCAACGGGGTACATTCCGGTTGCATGGAAGAGAGCGAGGATCGTCTTCATCCCAAAGCCTGGAAGAGATTACTCTCAGGCTAAGGCGTTCAGGCCGATAACACTATCATCATTCATGTTGAAGGTGATGGAGAAGTTAATTGAAATGCATATCAGGGAAAACTTTCTCATTGAAAGGCCACTACATAAAAACCAGCATGCATATCAATCGGGAAAATCCTGTGAAACGGCACTTCATCAACTGGTGGGGAAACTTGAGGCCGCAATAAGCAACAAGAGCATAGCTCTTGCGGCTTTCCTGGATATTGAAGGGGCATTCGACCATACACCCTTCATATCCATGGTAGCAGCGGTTGTTGAGCGTGGCGTGGAAGACACCACATGTCGGTGGATAAAAAACATGCTACACAACAGAACAGCGGAATCCACATTGCTTGGTGAAACCATGGAGGTGACGATTTCTAGGGGTTGCCCACAGGGAGGAGTTCTTTCTCCCCTGCTGTGGGATCTGGTTATTGACGAACTCCTGAAAAAACTAAACAATGTAGGAATTTACTCACAGGGGTATGCAGATGATGTTGTCATTCTAGTAGAGGGGCAGCATCCTGAAATTATTTCAGACTTGATGCAGAGAGCCCTGAAGATAGTAGAGGGCTGGTGCAGAAAGGCAGACCTCAGGGTCAATCCTAGTAAAACTGCACTTGTGGCCTTCACGAAAAAGAAGAAACTGGACAAACTAAAAGTTCCCAGACTTTTTGACACACAGCTAAGTATGACACAGGAGGTTAAGTATCTGGGAGTAACCCTAGATGCTAGGCTAACCTGGAATACTCAACTGCGAAAAACTGTCAGCAAAGGCAAAATGGCACTAATGGCTTCTCGGAGAGCGATTGGTAACACATGGGGACTGAAACCACGCATGGTACATTGGCTGTATACTGCTGTGGTGAGACCAATGATTGTATATGGATCGCTTGTCTGGTGGCCTAAGACTGAACAGAGATCAGCTATAATGGAGCTTTCAAAACTCCAGAGATTAGCTTGTCTCTGCATCACAGGTGCTATGCGCAGCACTCCTACCGCTGCTATGGAAACCATACTCAATATTCCACCTCTTGAAATCTTCATCAGGGCGGAAGCGAGGATGGGGGCATACAGACTGGAGTGTACCGGCAACTGGTATGCTCGGGGTGACTCCCTGGGACATACAAAAATAATCAGCCAAGTTTCAAGCCCACTAATGGATATGGGAAGGGACAAAATGCTGCCTAGAAATAACTATTACAGACCCTTCAACACTCAGCTCTACTGGGATGAAAGGGTCTTGACTAACTGTCAGGAAGGCACGTTAGTATGGTACACTGACGGTTCTAAGACTGATGAGGGCACGGGAGCCGGAATATATGGAGATAGACCCAGAACCAGGATGTGTGCTTCCTTGGGGAGGTATGCTTCAGTATTCCAGGCAGAGGTGCATGCTATTGAGGCATGCCTGAGAGAGAATATAGTAAGAGGATACAGAGGTAAACAAATCCTCATATGCTCAGATAGTCAGGCGGCCATTCAATCTCTAACATGCAATAAAATCAGATCAAAATTGGTCTGGGATTGCCTTCAAAGCCTGCTAACCCTGGCTAACCACAACAAGGTAACTCTTCAATGGGTGCCAGGGCATAAGGGAATTGAAGGCAATGAAGCAGCTGACGCTCTTGCCCGGCAGGGGTCTGCGACGTTGTTTATGGGGCCGGAACCTGTGTTCGGTATCCCCAAAACCTCAATACGCGGCTGGCTGGCAAGGTGGACGCAAGAAAGACATCAGGCATACTGGAACAATGTCCCAGGACAAAGACACAGTAAACTGATGGTTGGAACACTGTCCAAAACAGTGACTAACGACATTCTGAGCCTAAACAGAAGTCAGATCAAACAAGTGACGGGACTAATAACCGGTCACTGCCCCTTGAGGAAACATATGCATCAAATGGGCATCTATACAGACGAACCCATATGCAGACTATGCAATGAGGAGGAGGAAACTGCCACCCATGTAATACTGGAGTGCGAAGCACTAGCGCGTTGGAGATACAACCTTCTGGGAGCAGTAAACTCTCAAGAGGCATTTTCAAAGAATGATCTGGTGAAGAGGCTGCTAAACCTCATCAAGGTAGCGAACCTGTTCACCTGAGTCAACAGCATGATCAGGAATACAATAGGCCCAAAGGCTGCAGTGTTTTGGGCTTCAAACCCTGACTGATCATTCTGCCATTAATCAATCAATCAATCAATATTATCAGAATATTTTCCATACCCTAATCGGTCCCAGATGATTGCCAATAATCTCATTGAGTTTGAAAAAATCATCCGAAAATAACTCACGCCATTGAGAAAACTAAGATAGAAATTCAGTTTTTTTTCATTTGGCTATCATCCATTTGGATACATGAAACTGAAATTGTTGAAATAATTTATGAATCGTCCTAATATCGTGAGTTATTTTCGGATGATTTTTTTGAACTCAATCCGATTAGGGTATGGAAAATATCCTGATAATATCGTCTAAGTAATGATCTTTCGATTTCTAAGCCTATCAAGCATCGAAATGTCATTGTATTCGTGCCACAGCCAACCTCATGTATTTCAATAAAATGCAGTTGAACAGCCAATTAATGAACGAATATCAAATTGTGATAAATAGTTGAATAGATAATTTCAATGCCAATAAGATAGGCTACAGAAATAAACAGAGTGCTGTTTGAAAAAAATTTGATTGGGTTCAAGGGAAGCGCCATCATCGATAATAATATAACCCTTGTGAATTTCAAATTTTCATCTCTTTAAATAAAAAAAACTACTGGCTGTTACTTGTCTCCAGTGTCACCCGGTAGATCTTTGCGAGAAACAATAAACATAGTACACACCGAGGTATTTCAATCACTGATGAGTACCTTGTGAAGAATGTAAAAATTTGACGTTTCTTACGTGTTCTTGAAATGTTACCTCATGGTTTTGATACAGGATATTGGTATTGGTAGGTTTGTTCTTTGAGGGATTAGAGAACTTTGAGGCGATATGTGCATGATATTTCTCGCACAGTCAACTGGTATGATCCCTGTACAATTCGATCTCTTGTGATGTACAGCATAACACTCTAGCAAGATGTGGTGTGGTGTTTCTGAATCAGCAAGTGCTGCAGACCTCCTCTAAGCCTACCTTCCTCATATGTTCTTTGAGTCTATATAGGGTGATTCAAAATTCGCGATGTAAATATTTTGAGAACGGATTGTTGGGATCAAAAGAAGACTTTACCTTCATATGAACATGTGTTCTAAAATGCATCCCGTTTCGGCCAATAAAAGTGAGGATCCCCCTCCAACCTCCCCCTCCAAAAGGAGTTTACATAATTTTTGAAGAAATAATGATGTACAGGGGCCTGCCAATTTTTACAAGGTTTGATCCGTTATTCTAGTCACTATTTCAGAGTATCTTTTTCATTACCTAACTCACAGTTGCTGTAGCTTTGAGGGGGTGAATTTTTCGACACATGTTTATATGAGGAAAATGTCGTATTTTGATCCCAACAATATGTCCTTAAAATATTTACATCGAATTTTGAATCACCCTGTGTACAATGCCCCATTAGAAATCCCCTTATCGCCTTGAGATTTTATCAGGTTAATCAGTATTCGATATTGCTTGGTTTGAATTGTAGAGGAGATTTTTGGCTTGCCGCACTCCTGGAAGTCTTCGCTCGTGTGTTGCTCTCATTGCTGCTCCAGCTTTATCAAGTTCTTCTGGAAAATGAACAAGTCCAAGGTTTCTGGTCCGATTAATGGCCTTGATGTTCCTTGTCGTACCAGAATGTCTGATGCTTTTTCATTTTCCTCCTCCACTCCAAAATGTGCAATGTGATGATATCTATAGATATTTCCGAACCATATGTTCAAGTTGATGTTGAAAGAGGTTACCAAAACTGGGATACATGATGTGATAGAATTTGGAGAAATACGATCAATTGTATATTTTTACAATCCGTGAACTGATGACATTTGATTAAGAAAATGTAACCGCCTCTTTCACCACTACTTATCAATTACCGTCTCTGTCATACACGTATATCTTAAATGCATCATCACTCTCACTGCAAAGCCCATTTTCATTAAACACTAGTTAGTTCGTTTCTGAATGCGTTTGAGTGTTAATGGTATAGAGGTCTGTAGTCCAAGAACTCGTGAACTCCATACAGTGTCAAACCATTTTTTTTTTTTTCGAAAAAAAATCAAGTACTCTATAAATATCCCACAAATATTCAACACATTCTAATTCATATTCTCGAAAGTAGGATTCATTTTCAATATCGTCCTAGTTAACTTGTGCAAAACTCTGTAGAATCATTTTCGTTTGTTTCAGTGTTGACACAGAAGCGTCTACGAAGAGAGAAGAGAACAAGAAGACAGTTGCAAGAAGAACTAGAGATGGAAAGCAAGAGACGGATGCTCCTAGAGGAATCATTGAGAGAGTCAGGGGCTACAGAACATATCACTACAATCAATGGTATGTTTCACATTCAAAATTTATTTTTTTCAATGGCACAAATTCTATCTCTTGATACGCTTGTAATCTCCTTATTGGTTTGTTCGTGTTCCGAATTATTGAAACAGTACTTGGATAGCGCAGAATCAGGTGCGCAAGTCTGGGATAGTTTGGAATTCAGATAAAGAAAAACGCGATCTCCAGTTTTCTTCTTTTTCGAAAATATGATATATTTGTCCGGAATCACGTGTATCGGGGGCATATTTTTATAATAATTTTTGTTACGTATCAATATCCGATAATATTCCCAATATGCTCTTTCTGTGTATTTTCTAATCGTTATATGAAATATCAAATGGAAGAAACCATGCCATTCAGTATTTTCAGACGTTCAAAGAAGATGGAGAACAAAAATATCCCATAGTTAGTAGTGTACGTACTCGGTGGAAATCTGTAACAGATAAGTTGATTCCTGTTTTTTGAGTTCAGATTTCTAGGATCTATTTCGGTCACATTGATTTCGACTCCCATAGTGTGAATACCAATCTGTTTGGTAATTTTTGTGTCCGCGTGACCATATGGTTACGGTCGATCCTGAGTTACGTAGTCGTCCAGTAGTTCCAGCAGGTGAACAGGACATCTGGACGTTGTGCTCTTTGTCTTCGGAAAAATGATCGGAAAACCGTTACAAATGTGAAATTTGCGGACAGTTTGTTCGTGTAGAACACAGCCAGAAGAAAATGATATGAACCACATGTAATAAATGATATCTCAAAATATTGTCTATGACATAAATGGATTCGCATCCAAAATTATTCACGATAGTCATGAGCAGTTCTTGCCTAGAGGCAGCTTTCGAAACGATTCGAAACTCTCCACCTAGTTCGTATCAAACAAAAACCACAAATATGTGGAACTGTGGACTACAAAACACTCCCAAAAACACTTCTGTGTCTGTTAATTTTGTGAACACGGGCAACCTTATATTATAAACTGATGGCAAAATTGATAAGATGTTGAAATTCTGCGGCTTTGAGTCCAAAATCCAGTATCTTGAATATCCAAGAATATCCGATATCCGACCTTCATTATCCTAACCTCGAATTTTCTTCTTCTGCGGCCGCTCGCACGGTCGCGTCAAACTCATAAGTTCCACATAGGCCCTGAGGGATCATCGGAGCTTTGCGCTCGTACCTAATATTATTGTTCCGAAGTTATTATTTGCTAAATATAATATTCCGTCGGAGCAGTCGAATGTTCTTAATGGGTAGACAAGGCAAATATCTTGTAATCTGCGGGGCCTGATGCGAAAGTTGGTGTCCCGCAGGGCATCAAAGACTCTCATTCCTGCTCGCATGCCCTTTTCGTGTGATTGACAGGCCCTCTTAGCTCGCGTGTCGTACCTATACCGATCTTCTGCAGGCTACATTGGATCACTTGCCATTTCCATTTCGATATCGATCACTCGATGTCATAAAGGTGATAAACATCACTGTGAAAAATTGAGAATGGATGTTACGAAATTTTGGAGGTCAACTCGTTAGGAAATTCAAAATTGTGACCTCCCAGGCTGCTGTAACACGACTGAATTTGTTCAATAGTATCATATGAAAAACAATTAATAGTGGTCGACGGAGTTTCATCTGACTCTCTTATCATAAATGCTGGTGTTCCGCAAGGATCAATTCTAGCATCAACACTATTTCTAGTCCATATCAACGATTTGTTGGAAGCAACTTCATATCCAGAACATGTTGACAGCATAAATATGGACTTGGCAACAATTCTCGAATTGGGGATCTGATAACTTGGTAGATTTCAATGCAAACAAAGCAAGCATGCCTTTTCTTTAGAAAAGCCGATCTCACTGTGCCCAACATAAGCTTGTCAGGAGTAACCATATCTTTGAAGACATCCATTTCGATAATTGGTATTACTATCAGCAATAATGTTTCTTGGGAAAATCACGTGAGATCAATTGCTAAAAGTGCTGATTTTTCTTTGAAACATATTGGCCTGGAGTACAATTCTGTTGACTCCTATACCGGGTGACACAGGGTATCGGGCCACCCCTGTAACTTCTGCTTTCGTCATCGGATTTTTCTGAAATTCGGTACAGTTATATAAGCAATTATTTCGGATTTGATCACATTACAATCCAATATGGCGGACTTCCGGTATTTCTGGAAATGCCAGCAACTTTGTTTTTTCAAACGAAACACCCTGTATATTTTTACATATTCAATTTCAACAGGTCGAAACAAGTGCAATCTTCATTTCAAATGCCATTTTTTCGAAAAAAATTAAATTAAAATTGTTTTTTTCATTTTACCTCGTGGATAAATGAGATGGATATGGAACCCCTATGGGCCACCTACCCGTCTCTCTAGAACATACATTGAGGAACAAAATGACATATCATTTTTGTTTTTCGGTGCAGTAACAAATTGTCTACATTCAAAAATCAACAACTAGTTTATGAATTTCCTTGCAGTTAAAATAATTTTTCAACTAGGTAGGCTGTGGAATAAATGACATTTGACATAAAGATTGCACTTGTTTTGACCTGTTCAACTTGAATATGTAAAAATATACAGGGTGTTCCATTTGAAAAAACAAAATTGCTGGCATTTCCAGAAAAACCGGAAGTCCGCCATATTGGATTGTAATGTGATCAAATCCGAAATAGTTGCTTATATAACTGTACCGAATTTCAGGAAAATCCGTTGACGAATGCAAAAGTTACAAGGGTGGCCCGATAACCTGTGTCACCCGGTCCCGGTATATGCCTCTAACCCGCTATAATCTGAATGAGATTTCAAAATGATGCCATCATAGTTAACTCGGCGACAACAGAATTGTACTTCAGGCCAATATATTATGTCTGTGCAAATAATGATATGTTTTATCTGTATTTTCGAATGGTATAAACAAGATAAAAGAAGTTAGTTAACAAAAATGAATGTTACTACTTGCCGCAATTGTTTTAAGGCAACACACCTTGATAAACACGAAAACTTTCAAACCCCAAAAATGACCAATTGATCTGATTCATCTAGTCAGTATCGCAAGCGCAATGCATGTAACATTCCTGCTTTCTCCACTATGTATCAGTGATTTTTACATGATAACACGGCTTTTCCATACTGTAGCATTTTTATGGATTCAAGTGTACACTATACTAATATTTGGATCACAGTTTCACAAATTATATAGCGAATCGTGGTTATACAGAACTTGCAATGTACTGCGCGTATAAAGAAACAATACCATATGAAAACTGGAATATTTCGGAATCCAGCATACTATTTACTAAAAAATACATACGAGTTTCAAAATCACCGTATCAATAGACGAAATAATACAGACTCCGGAATTAATGCGTTAAATATTCAGGAAAAATATAATTCCTAAACATAGTTCTGTATACTGTGAAACAAACAGAAGGTATCACGTAATTCTACCATCATTTTTTGCAGTGTACCAGTACCGATTCTACCGCAAATTTTCAAAAGTTGTATTTTTCCAGAAAAACTGTCCGACCCCGACCAGAAACCGTCGACCACCACGTCGCCCCCAGCGCCCCTTCATCCCCCTGGTGCCTCCTCCGACCCCCCGCCGACCCCCCGCGACAGGATAAAGCAGGAGCGCGACGACGCCCTGGCTGGGTACGGCCAGCCGGCCGGGGAGTCCCGGGAGGGACGGGAGGGTCAGCTGCCCCCGCAAGATAGCAGGCCGTGGGGGTACGCCGGCATGGAAATGATCAACTCTGGGGCGGCGACGTTCTGGCAGAATTATTCTGGTGAGTATAATAATAATAATATCATTATTGTTTAACAAGAGAATGAATAAATACATAGATACATGAATAGAACAAAAGGAAGTCAATAAATGATCTCGGTACTCGATAAGTGACCAAACACTTGTTTCGAGAAGGTAGAAAGTATAGAATGAAAATATGAACAACAGCACTCACTAATACAATAAAGTTATAAAGTTGAGACAATTTATGAGTATGACAATTGATAAAACGCAGCTATAAAAAAGCATATAATATAAAACTAAACCAATAGGAAATTAATATAATAATATTAAAATTGAAATAGATATGTATTTAAAAACACAAAGTGGAAGAATAAATGTGTAAATGTTTAAATATAGTGATGTTTCAATTATTTTACTGAATTTGTATCTTGATGTTTCGTGAACAAATTTTCTCAGTTTATTTTTCAAGTGATTTATGTTCATCAAACTTTCTATCATATACGTATTAATAAACAATACGGATCATAACGGGTGCCAGGATAAAGCCAAAAATATGAAACAAATGAATATCCATAAGGATTTGGTGGCATGATACGCATGCGCCATGCGCTATTATAGTAGTCATCAAAGACATGCGTTTCGGTGGACAATGACGTTTACTAGCCTTTCAATCAAAGCAGTATGTGTCTGATCGTTTCAAAACTTTTCCTTATGGATAGTCATTTGTCTTCAAAAATCGGTTTCATGTTTCGCTATGGAAACAGATAGAATTTATCCGTATTGATTATTAATACGTATATGCTTTCTATGTCCTCAGTCATCGTATTGTAGATTTTTGGGGAAATGTATGAGTATGATTGCTGACAAACTGATTTAGAAATCAATGGAATAACATGGTAATGTCTATGTCTAGTTTCATACTGCTGATCGAGTCTGTTTACTTGATTGTTAATTTTTCTATATTTTATTATCACATTCAAATAATAAAGTTGCCTCATGTCTAGTATCTTACATTCTTGGTATAGTAAATCAGAAGGAAGTCTATGGGATTTTCTTAGAACAAGTTCCAGAAATCGTCTTTGTATAACCTCCAGTGATATGTTTGCGCACCGCCCCGCCCCTTCCTGCAAGTCCATATCGTAGGTGGCTTTCCACTAGAGCTAAATATAGTATTTTCAAATGGTGCAAGGATAGGAATTTTTTGAGGAACCTGAATTTATATAAGATGAACTGAAGTTTTTTAATCACGTACTGGATGTGTACGTTCCATTTCAAATCACTATCAATCATTATGCCTAAATATTTTATATGATTTACTTGTGAAATTGAAAGAATCTGATCTCTAGTAGTGATATCAATACGATCGTAGTGAGGCCTGTTTTTGTTGATGCAGCTAATTGGCAAGTAATATTTTTTTTTCAAATTCACTGTTAGTAACTTATGTTCAAGCCAGTTTTTAATAAAAGCAAAGTCTGTTTGCGCTTTTTCTCGCAATGCATCCCAATTTTCAGCCTCATACACAATTGCTGTGTCATCAGTGTTATAATGATTATTGTTTAATGTTAGTTTATTATATTTGAATAAGTGACACTCTATATATCGATAGAGGCAACTGTCATTCTTGAGCTGAAATAAATCTGAGAGATTGTCATTGAAATCTTAGAACAGGCTGTATTACAAAGATAAACCAGATGACGGAGAATGGAAAAAAGGAAAAGTAGTGAAAAAATATGACGAAAGATCCATTCATGATAAATAATGAAAAAGGAAATGTAATAAGCAGAAATGAAATTATGCTGAAACCAGATAGAAGTCCAGAAGAGGAGGAAACAACGAAACAGAGATATAACAAAGATACTACAGAAGGAGCTGAGAATTTACCAATTGCTCTACGGAAAACAAGTAGAAACATAAGACCACCAAAAAGATATCAGGACTAAAATAATTGAAGCTTGAAAGGGGGGATGTTATATAATGATTATTGTTTAATGTTAGTTTATTATATTTGAATAAGTGACACTCTATATATCGATAGAGGCAACTGTCATTCTTGAGCTGAAATAAATCTGAGAGATTGTCATTGAAATCTTATTCTAAAAGTATCATAAAACAATCAGCAAACCCTATTATGCTACCGCTGCTCTTTAGCGAAAACAGTCCAACTATGTATATATTGAACAATAGCGGTCCCAAGACGCTTCCCTGCGGCACATCATATTCAACAGCTTCTTTTGTACTGTGTACTTCATCTACTCTTACAACCTGTCGTCTGTTGGTCAGATAGTTCTTGAATATATTCAGATTTTGATTTCTTATACCAATGTCCTCCAGTGTTTGTGAAAGTAGTTCATGGCGAACAGTGTCGAACGCTTTTGATAGGTCTATGAAGAGACATAAACATGCTTTGATTCAACTCATAGCAGTATATTTTTTGGTAGTTAGTGACAAAATTGCATCTTCAGTCGATGTGTTTTTTTTTGAACCCGAATTGTTTTTCTGACAAGAGCTTATATCGATCCAGATATGATATCAGCCTATTCTTCAATAATTTTTCAAAAATTTTCGATAGATGAGTCAACAAATAAATGGGCCTATAATTCGCCACTTTTGTTTTATTTCCGTTTTTGTATATTGGAATGATGATTCTTTGAATGCAGAAGGCCAGACCACATTCCATGCACTTGTTAAGTATGAAACATAAGGGTTTCGTGATATGGTCAGCTTTGATTCCATCGACTCCTACCGATTTTTTATTAGTATGTTTCACCATCTCTCTGAATAGGCTAGACAATTATTATTCCTGACAATAGGCGAGTGAACTAATTTTTTTTTCTCAAATAGAATCACTCAATTTCATATCTTCTTACAGTTTCTCTGTTGATTTTTAGGTACTAAAATCATAAATAATGCCACGGTATTTTTCAAACGTCTACGATTGGGAATTACTTTTGTATTGGTGATATTCCTAATTATAGCAATAAACAGTCTATTGTTTCAAAATGTTCCCCCATGTGTTGTGAATTTGGGTAAATATACACACACTAGAGGACATTCGAACAGGTAAACGTGACAACACAACGCACGAATTGTGGGCGTTGTCAAGCAGCAAGCTGGAGTATGTCAATTGACGAATATATCCAAAAAATAGTATCACGTGTTGTATTTGTATGAGTATTTCATGATTGAGACAATAAATGAGCGGCTCGCGAGAGTTGTGCACACTGCATCCATCATTCTGGCTTTCAATATACCTAATTGAGTTTATGAACGTCAACAATTATTTATGGATAAAAAACGAGGTAGGTTGGTCACGTGTGAGTCAATTCGCCTTCTGTATTGGTAGAGCAAAGTCCGATCGAATTTAGTAAACAACTAGAGTGAAAAAGTAATTATATTCAATATTTCGATGAAAAGTAAGAGAACAAACGAAAGAGAAAGACAATATAGAGAGTATCCTTGGTTCCTCTCAAATCAAATCACAATGTTGCAATAAACAAGACATTATTGATATTGTTGAATTCGATTCGTTTCCTCCAATTGAGATTACGTTTCTTAAAATTCAGCTGTGTTTAAATCGATCGAGAAATGTTCGGAATGTACCTACCACACATAAAAGGCACTTCTTAAAAAACGTACCCATTACTGAAAGTTTGGCGCACGTATATTATGTCGATTTGACACGGTCTCATTCGTGCCGTCCTTCGAAAAAAACTCGAACGAATCGAATTCCTCCATGTTTCATTATTCCCTATCGAAGGAATTTCTATTGAGTGTTAACAATAATAACATTTCATCAGATGTGCATGACTGTAACTATTTATCACTTTGTTTTGAGAATCATAAGCAGGACGGTATTCGAAACAAAATTGAGTCTAGGAAATCAAGATTTTTCGTAATGGCAGAGAATTTCAATGGCACACTTGGTATATGAATGATTCGAAGGCTAATATCGTCTCGACCTTCGATCAGCGGAAATATCACACCTCTAAACATCTGTCGTCGAACCCATGGAATCGATAGGTAATTAGTTTTTACACTCCACTGAACATGAAGAACTCATCTATTCGAAAATTGTATTATTCATAATTGGCCGTGATGGCATCGACACGTGTTAAGGAATTCAATGAATTAATCAACTTTTTCACAATGCACCATTCTGGAATTTTTTCTAGCGACATATCCTCCCCTTCGGGATTTCAAGAAAAATATATATTTCTGCAACCGACACAAAAGTCGTCCATTTTGACACCAAAATTAGCTCTTAAATTGACGTTTCTATTACTGACACAAAAATAGGTATGTTGCTAGGCAACATATTTAGTTCTGAGGAGCTAAAGTTGAACTTAAGTTCCTAGGAGCTTGAGTTGAACTTCAACTCCTAGGAACTAAAAAGGATGTACTATATAGGTACGTCATCAAGAATAAACTCCAGAATAAACAACATTGTTACGGTTGGTTATTTGGGTTGGGACGCAGACCTGATTTGTTCCCGAGTTCGGCAGATTTGGCATTTCATACCCATGCTGGATATATAAAGACACCATATTATAGTTCAGTATTATTATTTCGATCAGGAAAGCCTTCAAGATTCACATACTTGCTGGATATGTATTTCATTCGTTATTCTCGGGATAGATAACTTGTTTTTGAATAATCACGGCCAGCAATAGTTTTTTGCCTCAAACAACGTCTTGTTTAACTTCATTTGATTATCGAGCCAAACACAGTGGAGTATGGAGAGATATAAATAATGCTATTATTATTGTTGATATGCTCACTAACCTTACATTTTCCACGTCTATACCTGGCACTGGCGCAATATTTGCTATTAGGGCACCTGGTCCATTCCTAAATATGTCACTGTATAGTTGTATTCATATTGGAACTACAATTCGAACATCCTAGAAAATTGAATAAACCTGATCTGTTAATGCAGGTAGAATA